CAGCAGCACAAGCACCTGCCTGGCAAGCACAAGGTCCTGAGTTTGATTCCAGGCACCAAAAAAAAAAAAAAAGAAAGAAAAAAAAAAAAAAGAAAAAAAGGATTTCTGGCATCAGGTGAACGCTGATGTTTAAACTCTGGTTCCACAATTTCTAAGTTGTGTGCCCTTAAGCAAGGTTTTTAAGCTGGATCCACTTAAGTGTCTTAACCTAAGTATGCCTATATTCCATACACAGAATTGTTAAGAAGATTAATGAAAAGGACCTCAGCTGAGATTGACAGACAAATTTTCATTTATATGCTATCTATGAGAGGAAAAGCAAAATAAAAGAATTCAAATGGCTGAAGGTTAAAGTTATACCATGTAAAAAGGGAGAGACAGAGAGAGAGAGAGAGAGAGAGAGAGAGAGAGAGAGAGAGAGAGAGAGACAGAGAACTCTAAGAAAAAGGAATCTACAGTAAAATCATACAAAATTAGTCAAGGTAAAAAGCATTAACAAGACATAAGAGTGATCTTATGTAATAAGTATCAAAATGAAGACAGTCTTCAAAAATCTTAGGACTTAAACAGCACAGAAACAACAAGAATGATAGTAATCATAGGTTATAAATAAAACACTAGCAATGAGATATTTTAATATACTTTTTAAAAATCCTGGACTGATAAAGCATATCAAAATAAAGACACAGAGGAACTTATTAGTTCCACCTCAGAAAAAACACTGAAGAACAATAACAGAAAGAAAGAACAGAGTAAGTAAAATCCAAGAGTCAGCTGTCAGAAAAATTAGATACATTTCTTGCTCCCCTATTCAGAGAGTTAAAACTTAAGAGTGCAGGAGGGGAAGGGGTGAGGGAGGAAGAAGAGAGGGAGGGGCAGAGGAAGGAGAAGGACAGTAACAACCATCATCATCAGCAGCATTACTTGCTATGTTTTGCAGCAAATAAGAACCAAGACAATTGTCACACTTACTACACGGAGGTCCTCAATGCGTTTTTCCAGAAGTACAGGCAGACCCTCTGGGAGCATAGGTATCACCTTGGGCATGACCTGAGAGGCGAAGGTTGGTTGGGGAGTGTTTCCATTCTCTCCCCCTGACTCAGATAGGGGGCTACCATCGGAAGCAGTATCCAGTAATCTGTCGAAGTCAAAATCATCTAGCATCTCTAGTGCGTTTTCAGCTTCCTGAAATAGTTCATGTTCATTTGTGCTAACAAAAATGGGGAGGTCTGGATCAGCACTGTTCAAATTTAAGTCTGGGACATCATTCCCCAGTGCTGTGGCAGTAGAGGGAGGCTTAGTCAGAGAGGAGGTTGACAAAGTCCCTGGGACTTTGGGGTTAAACTCCTTCTTTAATGCATCCTTCTCTTTCTGAAACTTTCGTATCATGGCGGCAAGAGCACAGGAATCTTTATAACGTTTCTTCTTTTTTTCAGACTTGTGTGAATTTAGAGCCACAACTCTGTAAAGAAAAAAGTGATCAGTTAGGCTACGTGTGACTTTATTTTTTTGTTTGTTTTTTTCCGGTACCGGGAATCGAACTCATGACGTTGCGTTTGCCAGGCAGGTGCTGTGCCGCTGAGCTAAATCCCCAGCCCCTATGTGTGACTTTAAAGGTTAATGTTCCATGCAGGTAAGTAGGCATGAATTAAAATAATCATTTGACAGGTGAGAGCAAAGGGTTCTCTTTTTAAATTCATATTAAATTGTACTTTTATGATAACATTTTTTTCAACAATTGTTACCTAGGAAAGGTAAATGTCCACTGTAGTAAAGAAAGAGAAAGGAATAAAGCAAAAACAAACAAACAAAACTGAATGCAGGTTTATTAAAGTATACTAGGTTCAACTTACTCCATTTTCTCTTTTTTCAGAACATTCACATACTCTAATCAACCTATGAAGTAAGGAATTAACCAAGTAGAGAAACACACTTCTGCTAAGAATACGATTGCCCTACAAACTAGAATTTCATTATCATCCACCTTCAAACTGGGAGCACACATGGTTTGGGCTAAAAACTGCCCAAGAAATATAAGGACAGGGATTTAGCTCAGTGGTGCAGTGCCTGCCTGGCAAGCACGAGGTCCTGAGTTTGATTCCTAGTACCCCTGCCAAAAGAAATAAAAATTCACTGTTTTGATTTGTAAGCCTCTGTCTACCATAATAACTGCTACTACTTTCTGATCACCTTTAACTTTCTATTCTAGAAACAGCCATGTTAGGCAACCAGATATGTGTAATTCCAATGATAACTTTCACTGTAACATGAACCATGGGGAAAGGTCACAGTTTAGCTGTCACTTCTCTAAGAAATCTTTCCTAAATCCTGTAGCCTGGATGTTACCACAGAACTTAGAAGATTATTAGTGCCTTGAAGGTAGGTCCACACTTGAGTCATTATTATAAACCTCAAAGCTACTGTAGTACCTAATATACAAGAAGCACTTACTAAATATGTGGAATGAGTAAGTTATAAAGTTTAGAAAACAATAAATTCACTAAAAGGCATTACTTGCAGCTTATTATATTCCTGAAGAAGTTTATTTGTAAATGATGAACATTTAAGAAACCCATTAGTATTGCAGATATTTTTCTCAGTAATTTCTTAATCTCAAGGTCATGTTTACAACTATAATCCCACATTTAGGAGTAGAAAAATACATCCCTACATCAACCTCTTGAATATAGAGAGTTCCAAATGCAGAGGTAAATCCCTTCTAAGCAGAAAAGAAAGCCCTCACAAGTGTTCTTCCTTAGTGCTAAAAAAAAAAAAAAAAAAAAAGCCAGAGAAGTTCAAGAAAATGGCAATTTTAAATTTTATTCTTCTGACTTACAGCTTTTGAGAAATTCTGTTTGGTTTTTAGCAGCAAGATGTAACCTAAGGTCAAAAGGATTAAAAGTCGCTAAATAAAGGGAAATGGTGCAGTGGTGAGCAACAACAATAGCTTCTCCAAGATGAGGAATGCAGAGACTAGAAAATCACAATGTGGGAAGCAAAAAAAGAGAAGCAGAACCCGGGGAACCAGAAAGATACGACAGGAAAATTAAAACCTACAGAAGAATTGAAAAGACAGAACACAACAGGGAGAAGGGAAGAGACAGTCTCAAGTTTCCCTCCAGTTCCTGGCTTGCGGAGCACAGGCAAGGCAGACAGAATCTACCGAGACACAGTGAAAGTGGGGGACTCCAGAGTGCCTTGGGGAGACACATGGCAGCAGAGTGGCCTGGAGGGTGCCTTGAGCTACAGGGAGAGCATGGGCTTCTGTTCCCTCAGGAGCCCTTTGACAGGCAACAGCTGGGGAGCAACTCCAGTTCAAGCACCCACCATATATCCCTGGAAACAGTGCTTGGTCAGGTGACACTGTAGGAAGAACTGATTGCTTGAATCTGGGACTTGGAATAGCCATGGGATGGCTCCTCTTCAGGGCTCTCAGTATTACATTCTCACAGTGACTGGGTGAGAGCCACAGTCAAGGACTGGGCTAGAAAGTGGCCCCTGAGGGACTTGAGCTAAAGGACACAGTCCCAGCTAATGATCTGGCCCAGCCTGAGCTGCTCTGGATTTAAAGTTCATGGCACTCTGGCCTTCACCCTATTCCTACTGTGTGCTGCTGACTACATCTAGCACTGATCTGGGGTCTGACTGCTTTCTTTGTCTACCAGCACAAGCAGGGACATATCTTGACTTAGACACTGCCCCAAAATTGTAGATCCTGGAAGAAAAACCACGCATTCAAAATCAAAGAGAAATTTCTTTTGTGTGTACTGTCTTTTTTCTTTTCTTTTTCCTTCTTCTTCACCAGTTTATTAGGGTTCCTTTGTCTTTGTTTCTTCCACTTCTCTCTCCTCCTTAAATCACATAGTTTAAGGTTTCAGATATTTCCTCTTGTATTCTCCCATTCCCAATCCCCTGTATCTTTAATAGTATAACCATAAAGCTTTATTAATCTTTAGACAGTTAACTCTATGAAGTAATTGTTGAATTCTTCTCCATCATTAGTGGTGATTTAGCTGCCACATTTAGTACATAATAGTTTGGGTTGTCTTAATGTTTACACTATAATGTGGATTTCTTCTTTAGGGTTAAGGGTGGTATATATTGGCCTTTTTTACATAATCAGCTGTCATGGCTTGTTAATATCCAAACTGTCTTGGGCAATACTACTGTAGCTGATTTCTTTGACATTACCAGGGTTGCATTAATTGTGCTGTTAATGCTCTTTTTTCTGTAGGCCAACACCCAAGTTACCACTGTGATATTAATGATACTAGAGTACATTCCCAGAGAACTTGGAGGCTTTGAGAGGGAGAATAACATGGGCCACAAACCTGAATTATTCAAAATAACAATAGAAGAGGTTATATAAAGAGGCACTTGATGGGCTTGCAGAAGATACAACTAAACAGATAATGGAAGTAATAACCAAAATGACCCAGGAGTTTTCACAAGACACTAAAAAAAGCTAGCTTATCTACACAAAATGATACAAAACACAAGTGACTGATTTAGCAAAGAATTAGTCAATGAAAAGGTTTCAATCTGAAAATCCAGAGATTAAAAATTATATTGAAAATATGGGAAGAATCAACCAGTGTGAGGAAAAATTTCAGAACTAGAAGACAATGATACCTTTGAAGACCAACTATTCAAAGACATCTTAAAGTAACAAAAGAACACGAAAAATGGATCCAACAGCTGCTAAGAAGGCTAATCTAAGAGTAACTGAAATAAATGAAAAATCAGAAAACAAACAGCATTAAAAAAAAAAAAACCTTTTCACAGAAATAATGGCAAAAAACTTCCAAATATAGGGAAAGAAATATACATACAGATATGTGAGGCCTACAGAAGCCCAAACAGCCAGGACCAAAGAAGAACCTCTCTGCACATTATACTCAAGGTACTAGACGTCTCAAGATAATAAAGCTTCATAGGTATACTACTAAAGATATAGTTGGGGCCAGGGATATAGCTCAGCAGCACAGTGCCTGCCTGGCAAGCGCAAAGTCCTGTGTTTGATTCCCAGTACCAAAATGAATAAATAAATATAAATAAATAAAATTAAGATATAGGGGATTGGGAATGGGGGAATACAAGAGGAAATATCTGAAACTTTAAACTACTTTACTGAAGAAAATAGGTATAGAAGGGCTTTATCTCAATCTCATAAAAGCCATCTATGATAAACCAATAGCCAACATCGTATTAAAAAAGAGAAGCTGAAAGCTTTTCCTCTAAAATTAGGAATAGGAAAAGGATGTCTCCACCATTACCACTCCTGTTCAATATTCTTAAAACATTAGCCAGAGGAATTAGGCAAGAGAAAGAAGTAAAAGGGATATGGATAGCAAAGGAAGAAGTTAAATTAACATTATTTGCAGATGATTTGATCCTCTATATAGAGAGCTCCAGAAAATTCACCAAAAGACTCTTATAATAACCAAATTGAGTAGCTTAGCAGGATACAAAGTCAACAATGAAAAAATCAATAGTGTTCCTACACACCAGTAAAAAAGAGAGAGAGAAATTAGGGAAATAATACTTTTCACAATAGCATCAAGAAAAATGAAATACTTAAGAATTCACCTAACCAAGGAGTGAAAACCCTCCATAACAAAAACTATATATAGTACTCTGACAAAAGAGATTGAACAAGATATCAGAAAATGCAAAGATATTCCCTGTTCAAATGTACATCTTGGATAAATGAGTACTTTCCTCATTGTAATGCTTTACCAACAAGAACCAGTTTAAAAACTATTTTAATATTTTGGTACTAAGTTTAGATTCCAGAGATTTAGGGTTAGCAGTAGCCTATATGTAAACAATGTATGGTTGTTTTTAATCTAAAAATATTCCATGGGCTAGGAATGTGGCTCAGTAGTAAACTGCTTATCTAGTTTATGTGAGGCCTTGAGTTCAATCCCCGCACCAAAAAAAAACCAGGCTCCCCAAAATCTGTTAGTTTACTTAGCTATTTTTTTTGACCATCATCAGATATATTTATTTGTAATATTTATCAAGCTAATTATCATAAACATAGATTAACAGCCAGATAAATAGGCCCAAAAGCACATAAAACAATTATACTAAATCACAGTACACTTTTAGATACATTGACTATGTTGGATTTTTTTTTAACTTTTTGAGACAGTTTAAATTATGCAGTTCAGGCTGGCCTTGAACTTACTTTGTAGCCCAGGCTGGCCTCAAATTTGCAGTGATGCTCCTGCCTCAGCCTCCTGGTAATGGGATTACAGGTGTGTGCCATCACACCCAGTGACCATGTTGGGTTACAATAACTTTTTTTTCTCCTTACCTTTTCTGTATACTTTATTTGTATATTGGTTTTCTCATATAACAGAAACCATGCAATATTTTTGCTTGTGCGTCTACTTCACTTAACGTTATGATCTCAAGGTACATCCGTTTTCTTACAAATGATGTATCCTTCTTTACAGAACAGTAGTACTCTACTGTGTATACATTTTCTTAATCCATTCATCTATTGATGGACATAAAGGTTGCTTCCAAGATTTAACTATTATGAATTATGCTGCTATAAACATGAGTGTGCATGTATCACTATAATATAATATTTAATTCTTTCAGGCAGATACCGAGAAGCAGAATAGCTGGTCAAATGGAATTTCTAGTTTCAGGTTTTTGAGGAACCTCCATACTGATTTCCATACTCACTGTACCAGTTTATACTCCCACCAACAATGAGGAAGTGTTCCTCCTCTACCTGCAAGCCTCTCTAGCATTTGTTATGTGATTTCTTTCATTTTTTTTCTTTCTTTTTTGAGTCAGGGTCTTGCTATGATCCTCCTGCCTCAGGCTCCCGAATTCTGGGATTAGAGGCATGCATCACCATGCTGGGTGTGTGTTACATGATTTCTTGAAGATAGCCATTCTTTTTGTAGTAACATGACAAAGCCTCCTTATTTAGTAATATATACTGCAATATTATTAAATGTATAATAGCCTGTTAATATTTATAAACATTTTATTAAATTAGACCTAGCTAAACTGAATGAATTAGTGGTGAATGTACTATATCTCTGTAAAAGGAGGAACAGTGACACTGACACCTGCTCCCTTACTAGGCTAAATATAACGTACCCCAGCTGCTTGGGTGCTTTTTTCCTTGGCTTCTTCTCCTTTTCCCCTTCTTCTTTTCTCTTCCGCTTCTTCAACTCGGTGTCATCTTCTTTTATTTTAGGAACCTGCAAAATGATTTTTAAAAAATGCATCATATGGGGCTGGGATATAGCTTGGTAGTGCAGTGCCTGCCTGGCAAGCACGAGGTCCTGAGTTTGATTCCTGGTACCAGAAAAAAAAAGCATCATATATGTGTGTATCAAAGCCTATTTGACGCTTCCAACCCATGGCAGTGGTTTTTCTCAGCTGTCCAGATACATTAGAATTACCTACTAAAAGTTTAGTTCAGGTTCCTGGGATACCTGAGCACCTCACCTAGAGTTCTGTTCACTCCTCTGGCGTAAGGCCCTAACATCTGAATTTTTAATACACATCTTAGGAATTCTGGTACTAGAAAGTCTTTACATCTCATGCTTTTGCCTAAGTATACAATTCATTTCTTAACCTTACTCCAGCCCAGTCATAGCAGACTATTAGACCACATCTGAAGAAATACTAAAATATACATATGCCTCTACAATGATATAAATAGCTATTTTCTTTTCTTTTTTTTTTTTCTGGTTTTTTTTTTTTTTGGTTTTTCTCCAGTACCGGGAACCGAACTCACGACCTTGCGCTTGCCAGGCAGGCGCTTTTGCCGCTGAGCTAAATCCCCAGCCCCTAAATAGCTATTTTCTTATATCTGTTTTGTTTTTTTTGTGTGTGTTTTTTTTTTTTTTTTCCCCCAGTACCAGGAATCAAACTCATGACTTTGCGCTTGCCAGGCAGGCGCTGAGCCGCTGAGCTAAATTCCCAGCCCTTCTTACATCTGAATTCTATTTTAAAGCACATAATTATGTATAGACCCATTAAACAATGGTTAGTATTTTACTTTTGTTTCCATTCACAATTGTGGCACGCCACACTGAAAAAATTTATCTTACTACTTCAGTGTTCAGTCAAACAAACCCACCTTGGGTGGCTTGTGCTTTTGATTGTCTGTCATATCTTCCTCTTCTGTGTCCGAAGCTTGGCGAAATTGCAGGGTGCCAGTGTTGATATAAAAGCCTCCATACTTTGTTGTTAGAGAAGCAGGAACTAATTCATCGTACTAGATTTAAAAAAAAGTTTCAGATATATTCTACTATCTCTAACTCTATAATTATGTCAAAGAAATTCACCCACCAGAGCAATATCTTCTTTAAATACCAACTATAAAACTAACTGCAAACCCAGCAATCCCACTCCTGCTACAGACCCAAAAGAAAAGACGACTACACTCCTGTGTTCATGGCAGCCTTACTCGTAACAGCCAAGATATGGACACAACCTGAGCACCTATCAACAAAGGAGCACATCTGTAAAATGTGCTATGTCTCCACAATGCAATACTATCCAGCCTCCAAACCAGTAGTCTTTCATTTGCAATGACACAGCTGAACCTACAAGACAGTGTTAAATGATAAGCCAGGTAGAGAGACATATACCGTAGGACCTCCCTTATGGCAGAATTGAAAAAGTTGAACTTTTAGTAGTAGAAAGCAGAAGAGTAGTCACCAGAAGCATGGGAGGAGAAGCACAGGAAAGGGAGATGCTGATCAATGGGTTCAAAGTTAGTTACAAAAAATAAGTTCTGGTGCACAGTAGTAGACTAGAGGTAATAAGTATTTCAAAGTAGCTAATTAGAGGATTTTAAATGTTCTCACCAAAAAAGAAAAATAAGAAAACTGTTTGAGGTGACAGATATACTAATTACTATGATCCTTATAAAATGTATACATACATATCAAAGCATTACGTTGTATCTCATAAATATATAGTTACTTTAAGTTTAAAACAGAACTAAAAATAAAAAAGACTACAATGAGGATACTTATAGAATAAATCTAGAAAAAGTTAATACCTGGAATAAAATAAAAATTAGTTCTGATTATTTGATATATTTGAGAAAGGAATTTCTAAGAAAAAGGGTTAAGCATGTAGCTCAGCTCTACAGCATTTGCCTAGCATGCACAAAGCCCAGAGTTCAATCCTCAGTACTAAAAAAGTAATTATTATGTAATTTAAATATTAAAAGAAAAAAACCCTGGCAGATATATTGGCCTATGCTACTAATCCCAGAAGTTTGGGAAACTGAGGCAGGAGAATCACAAGTTCGAGCCCAGCCCAGGTTACTTAGCTAGCAACTTTGTGAAACTCTGTTTCAAAATAATTTTTTTAACCACGTACCAGTTCAATTATTTAAATACAGGATGACCAAAAAATTGCACATTTTTGTTAATTTTTATAAGGTAATACAACAGGAAACATGAAAATGGCAATTTTATCAAATTTACTCAACAATTTTTGTGTATGGCATATCTTAAAACATTCAATACATAATGCCACATTACAATCTGCACAGCCTCCCAAGGGTCCGGAAACCCCCTTGTTTTAAATAAATAACAAACCAGTTCTGTACTGTTTGGTCCAGGAAGTACACATATATTTTACAGTAGTATTTTTTCTCTGCTTTTTGATTATGGGATAGCTTGTTAGATATTGGTTACCTGTGTCTATGCTACCCATAGAATTACCATAATCACTGAACACTATTAGAACTTTTTAGTTTCATTTCTTCTTTCAACTTCTATCATTTCTGAATTATGATTAGTTGACAATAAGGAAATGTCTTTTTGCCTTTTCATTTCATAACAGACTTTTCCTCTCTGACGTGCTAACCTTTCTTCATGTTTTAGTTCTTTCCTTTGCAGGTTGTTTGACACTTCTTATTCAGCCTTAGTGTCCCAACCGTGTCTGTTTTATATCTTAAAAGACTATCACTGAGTTTTGGAGAAGTATAAAAATTATATCTGATGTACTTATGATGAGAGATTTTTATAGATTATAGCACAAAATTACAGGTTATTTTTCACAAATAAAATAAACACAAATTAGTAAAAGAAAATTGCTGAGCGTGTGGGTGCACGCCTGTAATCCCAGCACTCGGGAGGTTGAGGCAGGGGGTTGCTCTGAGTTTAAGGCCAGCACGGGCTACATAGTGAGTTCAGGACCAGCCTCAACTATGTATTAAGACCTTGTTTCTAAAAAATAAAATAAAATAAAATAAAATAAAATAAAATAAAATAACCAGAATTTATTATTAGATTTCATGAGAAACAAACATCAAAGGTGGCTACAATGTTTTAAATAAAAAAGTGTGAATAGCTGATATAAAACAAATAGAGTTATCTCATGCAAACAAGAATTGACTGCCTGAAATGACACCTGCCCGAACGATGCTCAGGTTAACTGTTAATGAATGGGTTGGAGATATAGCCCACAGCAAAAGCTCTAGGTTCTACCTCCCACACTATCCCTCCCTCCAAAAATAATAATAATTTCTGTGACAAATTCTAAATAAATCGTCTGCTAAGAAAATGTCACTTTTCTTTCACTGCTATTTATTTCTCTTTATTTCCTCTTTGGTGAGACAGGACCTCACTAGATAGTGCTGGCTGGGTTGGAACTCACTACTTAGCCCAGGCTGGCCTTCAGCTTGTGATTTTCCAGCCTCAATCTCCCAAGTGCTGGGGTTACAGGCATGCACCAACAAGCCCACCCCAGGGCTATGATTCTAAGTGACAAACAGTTCAGATGCCAAGTGGAAACAAGTTAAAACAGATGACAGCTCTCACTTCCTACCATATCAGTAAGCAATTTTAATCATGAGATTATGAAGAATAAATCATTTTCTCTATCTTAACTCTATGATTTAAATGGGGATAAATTTTTAAACATTTAAAAGGAAAATAACAGAATGTTTTGAGGGGAGATAGAGAAACACATGCCTGGTTCAGTAAGGATATACTTGAGCACCTAGAGTGAGCCAGGCACCCTGTAGGGAGGAAGAGACTCAAACTGTCTATATCAAACTATGTCCTCAAAGTCTGGATTTTAAGGTTTATCATGATCTCACCTGCAAGATGGACAAAAAGCCAACAATAAATAAAGGTCAAACTTAAAGTATTCACATGGGAATGAAAAAAGGGATCACATCTAACACTGCAAAGATAGCTGTGACCTGGTCCCCATCCCTCTGCTTCTGGGGTTCTTCATATCATATAACCTAGATTTAGATTAGGGGGTTTTTATTTTTCGTTTTTAAAGAAAACATCCTTTGACACAGCAAGGAATATACCTATCCTACTACTTATTATAAGAATATTAGGGCTAACTATAAAAGTTGTGATATTAACTAGAATTCCTTCATATTGTATGGAGGATGGAAGAAGAAAGAGCACCCAATTTATTCATGTTGAGTTAAAAAGAAACGAAATGAGTGAAAAAAGAGGAAGAAACTACTTCCTTGTGGCTTCACTTGATAAATTACTCTAGTTTTATTTTATTTTACTGGTACCAGGACTTGAACTCAGGACCTTGTGCTTGCCAGGCAGGCTCTGTGTCCCTGAGCTATACCCTCAGCCCAATAAATTACTCTAAAAATCTCTGTAGATCTTAGAGAAAAGGGCCAGTACTATCCATAGTAAAGAAGTGATGTCAGAAGGATTAAAAGGGAAAATATCACAGTAATTATTTTGCAAATGTGTTCAGTGTCACATAAATATACCTGAACTCTTTGCTTACATATACTAGTACCATGTTTTCTAGTTTTCAATGTTTTTCACATAAATCGTTCATCTGAGCCTCATAATACCCGTGAGAGACAAGGAAGGCAAATACTATTCTTATTTTATATGTGCCAACCAAGTAAGTATCCTACCAAAGCAATTTTATGTGTTTATGGCAAAGTCACAGGATGTCCTTCAACCTATCCACTATACCAGGTAGCTTCTTCATGAAAGACATTCATTACCAAGAGTTTAGGGTGATTTTGATGTGCTCAAAATCTGTCATCTTATGCAACACTCTGTTGGGCTTTCTCTATCGTAACACACTTCAGGAGAATAAACTTCTTAGGAATATCTCACTTAGCCACTTAAATGGAATGCGTTAAGTGCAGTGAACTTGAAAATCAGAGAGCCTGGATCTAGCCCCTTTGCCAACAACTAGTTCTGGCAGCCCCAGTGAAATCGCTTAATAGCAGTTAAGGTTATAAAACAGGAACAATATTTCACAATGTGCAAGTGAAATTTAAAAGGGACAACTTAGTGTTCATGCCCAGCATTTATTAGTAGTAAAGAAAAATTTCTATCCATTTATAACTTGGCAGCATAAATGTGAAATTTAAAATAATCTTCCAAGCATTTGCAGATATTTTTAGTAATCAGCATATGATTCTGAAAATTAGGATCAGATAATTTTCTCTCTGAAACAATTACGAACATGGTAAACTGACAATACAATCAGTAAGAATAAGAAACCCATTTGACTGGGTTATATCTGTTTGTCTGGTTTATCACATAAAAACAATACAAGTTTTGATTTGTATTTCCCAGATGGCTAAATATGCTTAACATTTTTGCACACAATTATTGACCATTTGTATTTCTTCTCCTTGGTAGACATCCTAAGGAAAGAAAGTCAGCATGCCATAAAGACACCTGCATATCATGTTTTCTGTAGCACAATTGATAACAGCTAAGATATGGTCTCAATCCATCAACAGGTGAACACATAAGGAAAAGGGAAGGTGCACAGGTGTGCCTGTGTGGATAACGGAGCATTACCCCGCCATGAAAAAAAGTGAAATCATGTCATCTGCAACTGGAGACCATTATGTTAAGCAAAATAAGCAGGACTCAGTGGGACAAGTATCACATACTTCCCTAGTGCAAGGAATCTAGAAAAAAAAAAAACACATGAAAGTATAAAGAGACTATTAGACAAGAAGAAAGGCACCAGCAGGGTGACAGGAGCAATGGATACAAATGATACACATGTGGATGAAAGTGACACCACCAAACCCAGGGTTTCATAAAACATGCTTCAGTAAAATGTGTATGTTAGAAAATGAATAAAATAATTTGTCAATGGCAACAATTCCAAGTTACTTGTAAAGACAAATACCCTGCATTTTAGTTCAATTTCCTCTTAACAAGGACCTTCACTGTCTTACAAATGTAAGGTTTTTTTGTTTTTTGAGACAAGGTCTCACTTTGTAACTCAGGCTGGCCTTGAACTCATGGCAGTCCTCCTGCCTCAGCCTTTCACTGCTGGGACTGTAGGTGTGTGTCACCATTTTCAGCTACAAATGTCATTAAGTATTAACAACTTGTATCTATAAAGTTTATCCTTATTACAGTAGCAGCTTTCAAATTTTCTTCACTACAACCTAAGGGTAGAATACATTACACATCAAAGCCTACAGTACACACATACAAGCCATAAAAGTTATATAATCTATAATAGTTCCTATTCCATTTGATTTTATTTTCTTTAAAAATACTGGCCATACCTTCTAAATTGGATTACAAAATCCAATTATAAGTTGCAAGAGTCAGCTGAAACACACTTTGCTCAAATATTCTAAGTGCTAAAACCAGTTATTTAAAATACTATTTATCGGGCTGGGGATATAGCTCAGCAGTATAGCACCTGCCTGATAAATGTGAGGCCCTAAGTTTGATTCACAGTATAAAAAAAAAAAGATATCTATGATGGCTACCTACTACATGATTTCAAATATAACACGCTGTGGAAAAGGCGAAACCATGAAGACAGTTAAGATTAGTGGTTGCCAGGGCTGGGATTTGGAGGGAGGAATAAGCAGGCAGAGTCGAGGATTTTAGGCTGCAGCTGGCTGTTTGTTATCATGAAAGTTCTAAAAGGTTCGCCACCCCGATTTAGGACTTCTGTAAATCTTAGTCAAGACTCTTTAAAACATTCCATAACCCGTGCCATGCGCTGGCAACCTTCTTGGAACAGGAAATCTCTTTACTCCAAGGGGCACTGCCAATGTGTTAGGTCTATCAAGACACAAGGAATAATTTAGGAGGATGGCAGGGTGGCCAGTGTGCATCTGTGTACATTTCCTGTCACTCTCTTCCTGGCATGTGCTTTCTCGGTGACTTACATACGGATTTGTGGGCAGCGTAACAGTTAATGTATTCCTTTCTGTACAGCCTAAAACAATCACTGCACACTGAAGGAGAATTAGATTACTCTAATACAGGGACTACAGTGGAAGAACACACCTCACCTACCACAAATATGACATGGTCTCATCATCTGCTATGTAATCAATGGACTACTGTAATCTGTATAAGCTGTCCTAAATTCCTCTTTTTTTTTTATATGAGAAAGAAGATTCCAAGGGGAAAGCTGTAGCATTTGATCAAATCATACTGGTGATAAAGGATATTTAATAAACTGCCACTGTATTAAGGCATGCAGCAATTTAAAAATTAACCATATTTTATAGCTATCTGCCAGATTTGCTTCAACCCAGTAGCTCTAATGTTCAAGACTCCATGCTGAAATCACTTTAACATACACCTGCTAGGTTTGGAAATACTAATAAAAATCCAAGATGCAAATGCCCTTTAACCAGTAAAGTCCACTCCTAGAAATTTACCCTACCCATGTTTGTTCTCTATAAATATCCTGCATACACATTTACTTAAATCAATACATACAAAATGCTCACCTAGTTGTAAACACATAGCAATGGAAACACTTTAGGTGTACATCGACTGGGATTACTTCAATAAATTATGCAATTTAGATCTACTCCCTAGCAACAGTTAAAAGGAATGTATCTATGTGCTAATATGTAAATATCACTAAAATATGTTGTATTTTAATAGAAAAGCAATATTTAAAATATGATCGATATCATCTCATTCCACAATTCTAAAAAAGAATATACAGGCTGTATGTTACATGGACATTTCCAGACTACTACACAAGAAGTTTAAGAGAGTTTACCTTAGGGAGAGGAAGCTTTTGGGGTACTCTACCTTCTACTTCACAGCCATGTTATTTTACCATAATATGTACTGATTTTACCAAAAAACAAAAACTGTAATAAACCTATCCCTCAAAATCTCTTATTTAAGCCTGACCTCCAGAAATTCTTTTTTGTTTGTTTGTTTGTCTTTTTGAGACAGGGTCTTGCTATGTAGTTCAGGCTGTCCTTGAGCTCACTTTGTAGCCCAGGCTGGTCTCGAACTCACAACAATCCTCCTGCCTCAGCTTCCCGAGTGCTGGGATTACAGGCATGCGCCACCATCCCCAGCCAGAAATTCTTATTCCATGGGTCTGAGTTAAAACAAGTTTTCCAATATTTTTCACCCCTAACTGAGAAACAGTAGTAATGAAATGGTTTTTAACATCTGGTTAGAAATTTTGCTCTTTTCCTTTTTAAAAAAAACTTATTTTACACATGTCTGAGAATGAGCAAACTACTAATGAACTTCCAGCTTCTCTCAGGACCTGGAAAGGTGCAAAACAAACCCCAAAGAATGGTTTGGTACAGGGCCTGTAAACCACGCCTGCCAGCCAAGCCCAGCTGCCATCTTACTTGTATCCAGTTAGCTAGGAACGGACTCTGTATTTCATAGAGGGTTGGGGAAGCAGCTCCAAAGATGACTAATACTTTACAATGTATGAATTTGGGGTTGAGAAGTGTGGCTCAGGGTAGAGTGCTTCCTAGCATGTGCATGGCCCTGGGTTCAATCACCAGCCAATAAAAACAAAACAAAACACAAATTTAAACTTCAGAGTTCATCAAAAAATTTTACTGTAACATTGCCATAGCCATTCATTTAGGTATCCTCTATGGCAGCTCTCATCCTACACTGGCAGAGTAGCTACGACTAAGACTGCACAGCCCAAAGAGCCTGTGATATTTACCATTCAGCCTTGTATAGAAAACAAAACAAAAACGTGCCATAACCTGATCTAGTACAGTAATATCATACAGACTCACCATAAACCAACCTCACGTGACATTTTCTTTTCAAACAGCGAATATTTAAAAAGCCCAAATAAAAACATTCAGTGAACTATACAAGTTACTTTCCCACTGACTTTTACTATCCCAAACAGACAATTTTGTGCTACATTAAAGGTACATTACTCACAGCCTCTGAGTTATCAATAAATGGATCTGTCTCATCATAGCCAAAGCCTATATCAATTAAATCTTGCAGCCGATCCTTCCGGTGTTTACGGGGTTTCGCACCCTGCAAAGAACAGAGACGTCAGGCTGATTCAGTACTCATGGTGTTTACATAAAATTTAAAAATATCAGTTAGAAGAATTCAAATCGTTTTTGTAGATATATTGCCGGCAGGAGGTCAAATCTACCCACGCCTTGCATGTAAATTGCCCGGTGACTTGCTTCAGAGAATGAAAAGGGGGACACGGTAACTTTCCACTGGAAAATCGGCCAGCATTACCTCACCCAGGTGACGGCCAACTCAACAGGGTCATGCTGACAGCACAGACCCTTATTTCACCTCCTGGCCTTTCTTTCAAAGCCTACCACCCCAGCCCAGCCACAAGGAAAATATGTGTCAAACCCAAACTGTGGGACAGTCTTCACAGTAAGTGAGCAGTATTCTCCAGAGTCAAGATTATCAAAAAGAAGGAAATTCGGACGAACTGTCATAGTGTAGATGAGGTTAGGAGACACAATTAGCTGCAGCACTCAGTATGGAAACCAGAAACTGAAAAAGCACATTAGGAGAAAACTAGTAAAATCTAAAAAAAGTACAGATCGGGGCTGGGGATTTAGCTCAGCGGCAAAAGTGCCTGCCTGGCAAGCGCAAGGTTGTGAGTTCGGTTCCCGGTACCGGAGAAAAACCAAAAAAAATAAATAAATAAATAAAAAATAAAAATAAAAAAAGTACAGATCTAATTAGCTGTAGTACACCAATGTTGGGTTTCTTATCAACAAATGTACAATGTGAGCATAAGATTAACAAGGGTAAGCAGGTAAGGACTGTATGGGATTCCTCCGTATTACCTTTCCAACTTTTCTGTAAATCTGAAATTATTCTTATAAAAAACTCAAAAAGCTGGGCATAGCGGTGCGTTCCTGTAATCCCAGCACTCAGGAGGCTGAGACAGGAGGATCGTGTGAGTTTGAAGCCAGGCCTGGGCTACAAAGTGAGTTTTTAGACCAGCTCAGCTGCATAATGAAACCTTGTCTCATAAAGACCAAAAACCAAAAACCAAAAACCAAAAACCAAAAAAACCCCAACAAAAAATAAAAAATCAGACCTCCCAAATTTAAAGACCCAATCCAAAAATGGGCATTTGAAATGAATAGACACTTCTCAAATGAAGAAATTTGTATGGCAAATAAATATATGAAAAAATGTTCAACATCATTGGTCATTTACAAAATGCAAATTAAAACAACTCTGAGATTCCATCTCAGCCCAGAAAGAATGGCTATTATCAAATCTACCAATAACAAATGCTGGCAAGGCTGTGGGGAAAAAGGAACCCTTCTCCACTGTTCGTGGGAGTACAGACAGGTGCAACCACTGTGGAAATCAGTGTGAGATTCCTCAAAAACTTAACAGTATAGGTCCCATTTGACCCAGCTATTCCCCTTCTTGGTATCTTCCTGGATTAAAAGCATCATACCACAGTGATATATGCACACCCATGTTTATACTGGCACAGTTTATAACAGCCAAATCTTGGAAACAGCAGAAATGCCCATCAACTGGAGAATGGATAAAGATGTAATTTTTTTATACAGTGGAGTACTACTCAGCCATAAAGAAGGATAAACTTGAGACATTTCTAGGTAAATGGATGCACCTTGAGACCATACTCTTAAGTGAAATAAATCAAACACACATGTATAAATACCGCAATGTTTTTCTGGTATGAGAAATCAAAAGTATAAATAAGGACCAAGATGTACAACAAATATTTTTTTTTTGTTTTTTTCCAGTACTGGGAATCCAACTCACGACCTTGCGCTTGTCAGGCAGGGCTGTGCCACTGAGCTAAATCCCCGGCCCTACAACAGATACTGTGAAATAGAAAGAAAATCTTCAAATGGGAAAGAGAACAAGGGAGAGCGGAGTGGGAAAAGAAAGAAAAGGAAAGTTAAAAAAAAAAAAAAAAAGAGAAAAGGAAAAAATGGAAACAAAGCTTTTGTAAATGGAGGGGGGGGAGAATCAAGTTATACTATCATCTACAGGTATAAATTCCTTATGATGAATGTGATCATGATGTATACCTGCATATACCAATAAAAATAATTTTCTTTGAAGATAAAAATCTGTCTCTAGTGAAAAAAATAAAATAATTCTTTTTTTTTTTTTGAGGTACTGGGAATTAAGCCCAGGGCCTTCACACTGAGCTACATCTCCAGCACTTTTTATTTGTTCTTTGTTTGTTTGAGATGGTTTAAGCTTCAAATTGCCCAGGACGGCTTGAACTTGGAATCCTCCTGCCTCAGCCTCTCACAGTGCTTGGATTACAGGCATGAACCACTACACCCAGCTAAAATTATTTTTTTAATAACATATAATGATATATATGGACATACGTATAATATATGAAAATAAGTACTTCAAAAAAGTACTTCAAAGTGAGGACTGTTGTCTAGTTGGTTGTGTTGTGCCAATGTCAAGTCCCTTGTTTTGATGACTGCAGTTACATAAGACATTGCTACTGGGAGAAGCTGGGTGACGAGCACAAGGTCTGCTATATCTGTAACTTCTTTTGAATCTATAATTCATTTAAACATATAAACATTTAAAAATAGTACAACAATGACAAAATAAAACAAAGCACTGATGTGGATCCATTATTCAGGGTATACCTCACAGAAAGCCTTCGGGTTCTGGCTGATGACAATGTAACTCCTGATATCACAGATGTACAATGTTACATGTACCCTGGAGACTGTAAAAGCTTGGCATAAGCATTTAAACAGCCTGGGGCACTTCTGTACTAAAACAGATGTGTTAGCTCAGTCTTTCTAAGTCTCATGTTGAATATCTGGACTGACTAAAAAACCAGCTAAACTTCCTCTACGCTGCCTTCTAATGCATCCTACCCAATTTCTTTTGGTGGGGCAGTTGTGGGAAAGGACAGTAGAGAAAAGGGCACGAGGGCTGGGGATTTAGCTCAGCGGCAAAGTGCCTGCCTGGCAAGCACAAAGTCGTGAGTTCGGTTCCCGGTACTGGAGAAAAACCAAAAAAAAAAAAAGGTGAGAAAAGGGCACGAAGGATGCTGCCGCCCAACAGCTACTGGCAGCTACCTGCAAGCCAGAGCGAGCTCCAGAGAAGGCTGGGTGATGTGAGTCTCTGCCCTCACCTGGCTGCCTTCTCTCAGCACACACTTCCCGATGTAGCCGAATTCTGATGGTTACACGCACTTTATGAAACATGGCTCTTACATAAAAGCTGACCACTTCATCTTGTTTTCACGCAAAGAAACAGTGATTTGCTCCACACAGTCAGTGTGAGAGGGCAGGACACGGTGACAATGGACTTTCAGTGCTCTGCTGGCCCTTTCTGAGTAACGTGCGAAGGTAATTCTGACTAATGCTGTGTCTGCATTATATATCCATGCTGAAAACCTAACCCCACATAAAGCTACGACTCTACTGTATGCTTTTCAGAGAACAAAACAACAAAAACTAAACCATCACCAAGAGAAACAGTATCATGAGACATAAAATAGTGGGCCCCATGTTTTGTTTACTTATTTTGAAAAAAAGGAGTTAGGGTCTCACTAAATTGCCCAAGCAGGGCCTTGAACTCCTGGCCTCAGGATCCTGAGCAGGTAGGACTTCAAGTGCATCCCACCCACTGGCTTGATTCCTTTTCCTTTTCTCCCTCCCTCTCCCTCTCCTCATATTTTAGACTACAAATTAGGTAAGTTTCAAATGCTGGGGACCAACACAGTGTGGCAATGCTTTTATTTTGTTACATTAAGGCCACTGAGAGCAAAATGTTAGAACAATCCTCCTACAAAATACTAGGGCAACCTTAAACATACACACATGCATACGTATACACACGCAGTATATATACACACATTCATACAACATGCATGTGTGCGCCTATTTTGTAGGTCTGCAAACTAGGACCTGTTCACTAGTTTATAGAATTACAGTGAGAATCAGAAGTCCAGGGAAGAAAAGAGATATTTCTAGGAGATATTTCTACTGAGAAAAAGTTACACACAAGCAGGCAAATATATGAGGGACAGTTTTACTTGAGAGAGAAATGTGGGAGAGGGAGAGAGATACTAAGGAATGTATAAAAACCCATAGATAAAACTAGTAAAACTGAGGCCTGCCACATGGGTCTGAGTTATGGGAATTAGAATAACTATGGCATGCATGTAAGAATAAACATTGGTAGACAGTATTGTTTCAAAATGAAAAAAAAAAAAAGCAATATTAAAAATCAGTGGGTTGGGCCAGGGTTCAGTGGCGCAGCACCTGCCTGGCAAGCATGAGGTCCTGAGTTCAATTCCTGGTACAAAAATAAACACAAAAAAGGCAAACGATAAATCAAACAAAAGGAATTAAAGTATGATACTAATTTCACCTATCAAATTATAAATTTGCAAATTCTACAGGAATGGAGACCAGGATGGCTTAAACATTGCTGATAAGAATGTATCAAGTAGGGGCTGGAGATTTAGCTCAGCAGCACAGTGCCTGCCTGGCAAGCGCAAGGTGGTGAGTTCGATTCCCGGTACCGGAAAACAAAACAAAAAGAATGTATCAACTAAACTCTTTTACAAAGCAATCTGAAGCCTTTGCCAAAAGACTGTAACACTCTTACATTTTAAGAAATTTGTTTTAGTTCATGTTTGCAGCCCGTGATTACAGTCACCATGGGAAGCGGGGACACACACAAAAACATCTTGCTTTTTTTCACATACCCTTCCCTTCTTTCTCCCTCTCCCTCATCTCTTAGTCCCCTTCCCATCTACAAAAGATCTAGCTCCCTGTTTCCTGTTATTTATCCTTTATTTGCTCTTTATTTATGCTTTGGAACTAGGGGTGGTGGGGCATGCTTATAATCGCAGCACTCAGGAGGCTGAGGCAGGAGAATCACTGCAAGTTTGAGGCTACTCTGGGCTACAGAATGAGACCCTGCCTCCAAAAAGAAAAAAAAAATTATGTTTGGGTTTCTCATATGACAGAAACCATGTGATATCTAAGCCTGTATGTCTGATTTATTTCATTTAA